ACATGTTATATGTTGACACATTTTTTGAGTTATAGATATATGAAGTGCAATTAATTAGCACCCAAGAAACTGCCCCAAACTATCTGTTTTTATTGACCTCATGCATATGCCTACCCCCTCGGCACATGTTTGGCATTGAAAAGAAAAATTATCCCCTGCCACCTTGATAACAGATATGTGGAAATTAATTTTCTGTTTTTAGAACTTCATGGAGATTTGTCATCTATTACAGCAAGTATTTAGAATAAAATATATTTAAACCAAAATCATTTTTTAATGCCAACTTTTAGAGATCAAAGAGCGAGCCTAGATAATTAATTAGAATTTGTTAGTATGGTATTTCATTGTACATGTAAGGCCATTCCAAGTTTTTTCTATGTTTAGCGTCCGCGTGTGCCTCGGTTTTTTGACATCCCTTATCAAAAAAAACAAACAAAAAAACAAACAAAATCAGGAGTCCTGAAATTGTTTATTCTGGTCGAAATCATTGAATTCTTTCAATTTCTCTAAGTATTTGTCTACAATATGCCATATTTGGAATATTTTAAGCATTTAATACCTTGATTTTGCTGAGGAATAAATATTTCTACGAGAAAAATAGATTAATGGAATCATATCCTTTGAATGACATCATTTTTATGACTATAATGACTTGTGTTTTACTTTTTGGTCTGTGTGTTTTTTGCGAATAGGTAGGGAGGTATTTGAAAGATGGGTGGACGCTAAACATAGAAAAAACTTGGAATGGCCTAAGGTAATATTTTCTATGCGCATCAATTTCATAAATCTGTGGTGCAGCCATGCAAAATGACTTGATATTTTGGAGTTAGGAACCACATCAGAGGAAAAGTTTGTTGCTTTGCCAGTGGATGTCAATATGTTGATATGTTGATTGGTGGCTCTGATTTTATTAGGTCACCTGAGTCACTCAGGTGACCTATTGCTACATGTATCTGTTTTCATTCGTCGTCGTGTGGGTGTGCGTCTTGCGTAAACTTTTTACATTTTAACTTCTTCTCAAGAACCATCGGGCCAATTTCAACCAAACTTGCCACAAAGTATCCTTGGGTAAAGGTAATTCAAGTTTTTTCAAATGAAGGGCCACACCATCTTCCAAGGGGAGATAACTAAGAATTAGTGAAAAATTAATGGCATCTTTTAAAAATCTTCTTCTCAAGAACCACTGGACCAGGTAAGATGAAACTTATGTGGAAACATCCTCAGGTAGCGTAGACTCAAGCTTGTTAAAATCATAACCCCCAGGGGTAGGGTGGGTCCACAATGGAAGATCAAAGTTTTACATTATAGGAATACATAGGAGAAATCTTTAAAAATCTTCTTCTCCAGAACCACTGGGCCAAGAAAGATAAAACTTATGTGGAAACATCCTCATGTAGTGTAGATTCAAGTTTGTTCAAATCATGACCCCTGGGCAGGGGAGTGCAATTACAAAAATTAGTTACTAGCCTGGGCTAGTGGAAGTAACAAAGTTACTAGCTCAAGGTTGACAATCATCACTAGCCCATTAACTACCGAAAACAATACATGTATAAGTATAACAAAAAGGTAAAAAAAAAAACATTTAAGTTGAAATAAATAAAACAAATAGTGGTTTGCGCTATGTTATTGTCAGGTACTTCTCCCTATTTTTAATTTTTTATCGAATATAATTGTCACTGAAACGACTGGCGATAGCAACACACAATACATATATGTTGAAAAGAATTAAAGATTATGATTTTACAACAAAGTTAATTCGTATATCAATTCAGTCGATGTAAATATACGTATACTTTCGTTTCAGATTTACTAGCCCGACAGGCTAATGCAGTATAGATTTATGATAGCCCAACCTCTAAAATTGGTAGCCCTGGGCGTTGGGCGATGGTAATTGCACACCCCTGCCTGAGGCAGGGCGGGTCACAATGGGAGATCAAAGTTTTACATGGGAATACATTGGAAAAATCTTCTCCAGAACCACTGGGCCAAGAAAGATGTAATTGATGTGAAAACATCTTCACGTAGTGTAGATTCAAATTTCTTAAAATCATGATCCCCGGGGAGGGTGGGGCCATAATGAACAATGAAATTTTTACATTGGAATACGTAGGAAAAATCGTGAAAAAATTATTTTCTCAAGAACAGCAAAGCCATGATTGGTTATATTTACATGGAAGCATCCTCAGGTAATATAGAGTGGGGCCACAATTTATGATCAAAGATTTACATATGAATACATAGGAAAAATCTTTAACAATCTTTTTCTCAAGAATAGCAAAGCCATGATTTGTCTTATTTATATGGAAGCATCCTTGGGTAATGTAAATTCAAATTTGTTCAAATCATGACCCCCTGGGGTAGGGAGGGGACACAACAGGTGATCAAAGTTTTAGTTAGGAATATATAGAAAAGATCATTTAAAAACTTTCTTCTCAAGAACAACAAAGCCATGATTAGTCATTTTAATACAGAAACATCTTCAGGTGCTGTAGATCACTAAATTTTCGGGACACTTCATTTTCGCGAGATAGTCACTGACTCCCTATTAACGAGACAGAATATCACGAAATGTGTTTGCTCTATATAATCTTTAGGAATACTAATATAAGCGAGAATGAAATTTTCACAAGCACACTGTCTCACGTAATTACGCAAAAATAAAGTTCTTGTGAATAAAAAGTGTTTTACAGTAGTGTATATTCAAGATTATTCAAATTATGACCCTCGGGGGTAGGGTGGGGCCATATTAGAAAATAAAACTTATAGGAAAAAAATCTAAATGGGGGACAGATTAGAACTTAATTTATGAGTTGTTACTGAATATTAGACTAATTATTTCGATGATCATGATCGTCCTATTTTTCTTGCTTTTGGGCAACAAATTAAGGTTCTTCTATCAGTTTATTTTATACTCTATGGATCCTCTATGGATAGTTGTTTTATACTCATGTGACCGTTAAGGCCCTTGGGCCTCTTGTTCTATGATACATCATGGATATCATTTAATTTCGATGACGAATACCAAGAGTGCAGACTGCAATGAACTTACAAACTAGAAAATCAGGCTTTCTTGCATTTTGTGGAGCCAGCCAAATGGCGCAGTGCACATTTTACACTAATACAGTGGCTATACAAGCTATAATTTGGGTCCATTAAAAATGAATTTGTAAATTTTTTTATTTGTTTACCGAATGAAATTATGAAAATGTTGTAAATCACACTTGAAATTGAACATGTGATTTAGATGGCAAATCATAATTATTGATTTTCGTTTGTGTCGGCATCCCGGTTAAAGTTTTATGAGCAAGTCCATTCCCAAGTAACTATAAGCTGTACCTGGACCCAACTTACATGGATGATGCATCTAGGGATGGACAATACTAGACTTGCTTCAGATACTGGATCTGACCTAAATTTTTCTAGATGAGTGACCAGGTTAAAGTTTTTGGAGCAAGTCCATGCATTTCCAAGTAACTAAGCCCTACCTGGACCAAAGTTGCATGGAGGATGCACCTAGGGATGGACACTACCAGACTTGCTTTGGATGCTGGATCTAACCTTTATTTTCCAGATGAGTAATTATTAGCCTTACCAGAACCAAACTAGCATGGAATGATGTATCTAAAGATGAACACAAGAAGACTTGCTTTTGATGCTGAATCTGACCTACATTTTTCAGATATGTGACCAGAGTAATGTCTTTGGAGTAGCTCTATCACTATATGACATGTTATGACTAAACTTGCATGGATGACGAAACTAGGGATGGACACTACCAGACATGCTTTGGATGCTGGAACTGACCTACATTTTCTTTATGAGTAAACAGTTTAAGTTTAAAGTTTTTGGAGCAGGTCTATTCCCATGCAACTATAAGTCCTACTTTAACCAAACTTGCATTGATAATTGATCTCTCACAGTATTGGTACAAGATTTACCTTACTTATAGATACACATGTACCATTCATTGAGCTTTGTAATCTTTGATTACCTATGTTTATATGTTGATAAAAAAAACTCAATAAACAGTTAACTTTTTTGTAAAAAGTATCACTAGTCAACCAAGAAACTTGTTTTCCCTTAGATCGAACACACGTTTTGGTGGTCATTTGATTACAGGCAAAGAATTGATTAAAATTTAAAAAAAAACTTCTAATATTTGGTTGATAAAATATTTCAGGAGGGATCATTTCAATGACAAAACAAAAGGTTAACAATGGTTTTCAAAAGGGTGTCAATTTCATTTGTTATCCTCCAAAACAGGCACCATTTATATAGTATGTTATGAATTAAAGCTTATGTATTCCCTGATCACATCTGTTTTCAGAGAAGACGAACGTCACCTTCGTCAGAAGCAGATTTTTACTGCCAGGCTGGCTTTGACCAAAAAGGTTTTGAGATCAAATTTATATCAGACTATAAAAGTAAGTTTATATTATTAATTTACTCTCAACATCTGTGGTTTTGTTTTGTAAAGTGGATGGATGTAGAAAGAATAATATTGCTTGAATTTCATATTTTTTCATTTATTTACATGATTATAATTTTATATGCTGTTAATTTATAGTTTTGTGCAAAAAAGTTTAAGTCCAGATTGATCTGTATTTAAATTTAAGTTTGTATATTTTTTCCAAAAAATTTTTTTTGTATAATTTTTAACATAAATGATGTTTAAACAAATTGGAAATACTGGGACTGATTCTAGAGCAATCCCCTAGTTACAATATGATGTCACACAAAGACACATTTAGCAGAAGACTTATACCTGGAAAATAAGATCTCAGAATCTGAATTGATAAATTTTTTTGTAATATTTTGTGTCTATAAGTAAGTCTTTTATTGAACCTATTTGACCAAAGTGAGCATCATGGCCCATGGGCCTCTTGTTTGAAGACAGTTTTAATTTTTAAAAGGTGATGTTGAATCTAAATGCTTTGATGTTTTAGACATCCAAACGGCTAGCTCAGATGTGGAAGTGGAATCGGACCCTTTTATTTGGGAATTCAATGGGAAATTCATTTGACAGTGATGATGATGATGAGATTAATTCAGGTAATATATATAAATATAATTATACAAGTTGCACTACCCAGTCTGCTGTTAAGCTAATTTCATGATAATGTCATAAAGAGGGATTTAATATTTATCATGTTTATTCACATGTTTTTGGACACAAACTATTTTTTTTTTATGTAATGCCACCATCAGTATCAATACTTCATAAAGATAGGCTTCACCCAGTCTGACTATTAAGCTAGATTTATAATAAGGTTATGAACAAGGATATATTTTCATCAAGGAGCAGTGGTCTAGCTTCCACTTGTTGAAGTGTCTCCTAAATTGTGCACATCATTGAAGAACTATTTATAAAATTTTCAGATCAATCAGCCAGAACATTGTTATAGCAAACATGCTTAAAATGAATTTATATGCTAACATTGAAGTGATTTCCTTCCCCATAGATTTAAAAGTGTTGTAAATGGAAAGTTTATGCTTATAAAGAATTAAATATTTTGGTCCCTGGCTCTTTGCTATTGTAAGCATGTTTTACTGTATTATTCCCTGTTGTTTGAATAATTAATTTATCTTTATTTTGTGTGATGCCATTTTTACCATATCTACTAGTGTTGTCAACGAGTACCTAGTTAACCGGTTAATCGGCAAACAATGCGAGTATCAGATAGTAAAACTGCTACTCAGTTACTCGGATATATAGACAAAAGTAGAAAAGAAATGTTATTTTGTTAAGAAATGAATCTACACCTCTACCATTTTATTTACCGTTATTTAACGTTAGACTTGATCTAGCGTTTCACAAACATGACCGATTTGTTTTGATAACACTTAGTTTTCACAGTTTATCTAATTGATGGCTTTGATTGCCAAGCGGTATACAATGTAGAAAACCTGGGTTAATTATAATTAACTCACTTATACTGTGCTAGTCCGCAGTACAGGATTAATTTTAAACAAGATGCCTCCAGAACCATCAAAAGCATAGATTCCGAAATGTTTTAAAAGAATTTAAATCCGAAAGGTGTAAAATATGTAAAATGAAATTAACATACACAGAAACGAAACTAAAGTAACATTATATTTAGGACATCCGCAAAAATTGCCAACTATTATAGGATATTCAAGAACAAATTCATTTAGAAGCTTTATTTTGTCTTTTTGTAATTAAAAATAAACAAATGAAATGCATCTACAGTGCATTTGCGTTTGATATTGGCCAGTATGTAAATGTTAAACATGGAAATTGTTATGACGTTACATATATTACAGTTATTATTGAATACATACCATGAGCAAGGATGTTTAAAGGTCTAAAAAAAATCCATCTGTGTAACCGTTTACTTGATCGGAAAAGTAAGCGAGTAACCGGTTACTAAAAATTGTCCGATTTGACCACACTAGTATCAACACATAATTATAAGATTGGATGCTGCTCGGTTCGGATGGCCAGAGTCATTTTTATGACATAATTGAAGACATATTACTGGCATTTTGTTTTTCTCACATTACTTGAATTCTTGGTTGTCTACAACAAAAATATTTCAATTGATATTTGTAACAGAGATTTAATTTGCAAATTTAAAAATAATGTTACAGTAGTTAAGAACTGGAATTAGTTTAAAAGTAAGAAGAACTGGTATACATAGCTAACACAATGAAGCATCAGCAAAGTACTGAAATTATGAAGAATAAGAATCAGAGTGAAATGTATTGAGCATGGATGAAAAGAAGTGACATACTGTAGTGAATGAGATTGAGTGGCCTTTTGCTTTTACTTAAGGATTTTCCAAAACACTGATTGATTTGTATTTGAGAATAAATTGTAGTATTATTATGAGATGCAAATCCAATTTAAAAGCTTCATCAAATTAAAGACAGACTGAATTATATGTCAAAAGAATGTGAAATGGCACTTCATTTTGAAATAAAAACATGATTTCAACTCAGAAAAACCAATGGGGTACAAAGTAAACAAACTGGAGTGACATACCTAGATTCTCTCTAATGGTCTAATACATGTATGTTTAATTTGGGATGATTATTTTGATTCCTTCATTCCATAGCAACATTGATGTGAAGCCAGCAATTTTTTTCATGCCACGTACAGTATCTAATAATCTCTGCATTAGTCACATACCTCAGTATTTGTGTCAACGTTTTGAGTTTCTATCTTTAACTTTAAAATTTATCACGCAGATGTAGTGTCAGAGGACAGTAATTGCACACGTAGTGATTTTCCTTCCCAGAGTATATTATTTGCACACACATGTAGTGAGTTTCCTTGTCTGCTTAAAATTATCACACACATGTAGTGAGTTTCCTTGCCAGAGTACATTATTTACACAGATGTAGTGAGTTTCCTTGCCAAAGTACATTATTTGCACACATGTAGTGAGTTTCCTTGCCAGGGTAAGTTATTTACACTCATGTAGTGAGTTTCCTTGCCAGAGTACATTATTTACACATATGTAGTGAGTTTCCTTGCCAGAGTATATTATTTACACACATGTAGTGAGTTTCCTTGTCTGTTTAAAATTATCACACACATGTAGTGAGTTTCCTTGCCAGAGTACATTATTTGCACACATGTAGTTAGTTTCTTTGCCAGAGTACATTATTTACACACATGTAGTGAGTTTCCTTGCCAGAGTATATTATTTACACACATGTAGTGAGTTTCCATTCCAGAGTACATTATTAACACACATGTAGTGAGTTTCCTTGCCAGAGTATATTATTTACACACATGTAGTGAGTTTCCTTGCCAGAGTGCATTATTTACACACATGTAGTGAGTTTCCCTGTCTGTATACATTTATCACACAGATGTTGTGAGTTTCCTTGCATTGGTTTATTTTCATTTTCGATCAATGTTTGGAATCAGCTTCTGTTTCAATGTTATCGATTATAATCAGACACCAGATTTCTACTTTACAAAGCATAATTTTGAAATTTTAAATTCAAAAGTAATGAGGATCTTTTATCAAGTATATTTTTAGAATCTACAATGTACACACCTAGCTTAATTAAAAATCAAAACAAAAAATGGGGGTTAATGTGCTTCTCTTGGCGGTATTGAGCATTTAGTTTGACTTTTTTGCACTGTAAATACGTCTTACACATAAATCAATTTTTAAAGTTTTTCCTCCAATATTTTTTTCAAATTAATTATGGGAACAAACGCAGTCTTATTTCACCTTGAATAGGTGTATTAAAATTTGTGACAACAAAAATTTTTCAAATTACTTCGCAAGTTCAATTATTTGACCTTTTTGCACTCAGAAAATATTTTTCTGGCATTAAAAAATTTAACAAGCAATAAAATATCTTGAAAGTAATGACATTTTACTGAATTTAAGAAGAATGGTTAAAAGTATTTTATATATTCAGAGAAGAAAATTAAAAGTGGGGGTCTGTGATGTTAATTTTTAGATATTACCAAAATAGTGCTAATTTTAAGCTTAATTTAAATTACGGCTATTTTTTCTGGATTTTCACAATATATTTGCTATACTTATCAAATATAATGATAGAATTCATGATATTTTATTTGATATATAATTTAGGACCAGCATAAAACAATTCATGGCTCAGAATAACTCTGTGTGTAGGCTGCATGGAAAAATAGGAATCCAAACTTAATATACTTTAATTACTTTGAAAGAGAAAGAAATGATCATTTTCTTCTAAAAAACCTTCCGCCACAAAATATACTGTACGTGTACATAAATTGGCGTATTCAAAATTTAGCGAAATCACTGGGTTTTGAGGTGTTGGCGACATCACGAATTAGCGCTATAAATGTCTGTACAGTATATTATATTTATAAATGATTTCTTAGTGGTATTCATGAATTAGCGCATTGTTGTCTGCGCCAAGGGCCCCCTAAAATATGAAGCCTGCTTTTTTAAGTACACATACAGTATTTCCTCACTTAATGCTTTTGGTATGGAGTTTTAACTGAATATATTTTAATTGGTATTGTAGAATCCAAATTTATTGTAAGAACTAAAACATTATGCAAAAGTGGAAATACAGGTTAAGACAAAAATCTGCTCAAAAGCTCAGGAGCATTTTACTTCTTCTGGAGAACCACTTGGCAATTTTAATTTGTTCAAATGAATGGTGACCAACTTTTCAAGGAGAAATAGCTATGAAACAGTGAAAATTTGATTCATATAAAAATCTCCTTTTTATAAACCATTGAAACTTATGTGGAAGTGTCCTGACATGGTATAGATTCAAGTTTGCATGTTCAAATCTGACTTAATGGGGTAGGTGGAACCAGTATGGAATCAATATTTTTTTTACATCAACATATAAAAAAATGTCATAATAAGATGCAGTCATAACATGGTAGTTTGTTCAATTGTCTTTTTGTAATTAAAAATAAATAAATGAAGTGCATCTACAGTGGGGTAGGATAGGGCTACAATTAGCGGTTGAAGTTTTTCATTGGAATGTATTTCACAACAGGACATTGATTAGTGATATTAATGTGCTAGCTGTTATCCTCAGAAAGTGCTGTACAATTTTTTTCCCAATCATGGTGCCTAGAGGTACCCGTAGAGTGGCACAACAATAGTGGATTAAAGTTTTTTGTGGGAATATAAAGGAAAAAATGTTTAAAATAAAAAAGAAATGAACTTTTTTTTTAAATACAATGTATTTTGTGATAAAGAACAAACAGCAGCATTTTTTTTCTTCCATAACTGGTACCATTGAACAGAGCCATTCCACCAAAAATGTTAATTATTCCTAGTTTGAGAGCATTAATATTTTTGCATCAAATTTTGAATTCATCTATTTTTATGAGGAAAAAATTGTAAAATGCTAAGTTCAAAATCTTTGGGATTGGTATTTTGACTACTTTGTATGGACATTCTTTAAATAGTGCACTGTGCACAAAGGATGACTGCACTTAAGGACATGCGAAATTTGCGACAAAATAAACTTTTAAAACAAGCATTTTTCTTTTCATTGCAAGAATGGTCAACATCCAATCTACAACTTTATGTAATTACGTTTAATAAAAGTGTGTATTTACGAAGTTCGAATCTGTTTTCAAAGGCAGGGGTCATCACAATTTCATGAATCTCCATTCGATAATGAGGACGCCCACTTTTTTACTGACTTTATACATAGTCAGCGCATGTTTGTCTATTGTTCTACGTTTAACAGTAGTATATTTGCATAAATAATAATGTGTCAAAAGGAGATTGATAGACAAACATGTGCTCATGGTTAAAAGGAAAAAAAACTGCTTCTTCTTACATTCGCTCTCTGTGTTGTAACCAAGGATTGTGACATGCTGAATATTATAATTCACCATGTGATTTCTTACCTCAGGTAACTTTGTGAATACTAAATTCCGTCACGTGACTTGTAAGGTAGCATGTTTGTGCTAACTAGGACATTGTGTTCGAACACGTTAAGTCATCTGGCATTGATATAAAGTCTGCTTTAATTACATTGACGTGCTCATATTGTTAATTTCGTTTTGAAACCTTTATCAGAAGTGTATTTGTGCCACACAGAATGGAGAGGGAGATTGGAAGGAGTGATCACGTTCTTTTTTCCAAACATGTCATTGTTATTTTGTTATTTATCAAGTCTAATTTTAGACCCATTCTTACAATGTTAGCTCCACCTCTCATGCATACCTAATGTTCAATCAAGGGCAGATAAGTGTAAATTCACTATATTTGGAAAGCAGTAAGGACAAAAAACATTGAATCATTTTATTGTATCACAGTCTAAAATCATTTTAAGATTTAAATTTGGTTCCAAATTGACAGGATTCTCTCAAAAACATACAAAAGTGAAATAAGGTTTAGATATAAAAGCAACAGAAGCAACCGAAAAAGACCCAAATATAGGCATTAAGTGCAGTCATCCTTTGGTTGAGAATGCACATTTAGTTAAGTATTTTAGTATATCCCTATTTGTTCAACCTATATATACTGTCCTGTCTGTCCACTTTATTTTGCAAGTCATCTTAATATTTAAGTGGTAGCCAAAGAAATTCATTTTCAGGTGATTGATTAGTTTTTGTAGATGTGTATGAATTTTGATCTCTCCCCTGAAGCTAAGCTGAAGTGAAGTGATAATTCTGTTGAACATGAATTGTTAGATATCAAATGAATTCCAAACTTTAAGACTTCGTTTCAATACGAAGGGATATGTTAAGATTCAAGCATTGATTGGTGTATACAATTAAAAGAATGTCTTTGTGCTTGCATGATGAACTGGGTTGAAAAATTTTGAAAATATTAAATGTTTCCCTCAGCTTGTTGTGATCCTCCTGGACATCCAAGTGTTTTCGACATTGATGAAGATTTTGTCACTCTGTCTCTGTTGGACCAAACCAAGAAATGATGGTTTTAAGAAGATTATAGGATATGTCATAGAATACGAAGACCCCACCACTGGAGGCAGGCTAATGACTACCCAGTAGATGAGTGTGTTTATGAGGGTGAGTAACTGATTACTTGTTGACACATGTATCTTTCTTATGAACTAGTAAGTGGATTTACATGTCCTTTTGTTGCATGTAATTAGTATATTATGGCTGAAAACTGTGAAAAGATGTTTTACGAAAGTGATTCTTGAAATTTGTTTTGTTTACAAAACTTAAATTTGAGAATTTTTTCATCAGTGTAGGGATTAAAAAAGGACAAGGAATACAACTTCCACATACGGGCCAAGAATCTTGAAGGTTTTAGTGAGTCTAGTGATGTGATTGGTCCCATAACCCCCATTTCAAATACAGTAAGTATATTTGAAAAAAATTATAACATTTTAAAAAACAATTACCATATTGTACTTTAATTTCAATTATTTTTTCTTTCACATTTTTAAACTTTTATTTTAGCCAAGGTTTTGCCACCTGGTGTACCAGAGGCTGTCAACAATTCTATAACTTATCTGAAATGGGAACCACCTAAGCATAATGGTGGCTGTAAAATTACAGGTACTAATTTAAAAGTAGAATAAAAAAAGGGAAATGTTGATCTCTGTTCAAAACACATAAACACTGTAGCAGTTGATAATATTGATTATCTTTGTAGACTACCTTGTGGAAGAGAGGTTTAAGGGAGCAGAGATGTGGTTTAAGTGTAATGAGTACCCCTGCACTGACCTCTCTTTACTGTCACCGATCTTCCTCAGGACTCAGAGTGGGAGTTAAGAGTTACAGCTGTTAACTTTGCTGGAAACTGTGAGCCCAGTCTGTGCTCACCAGCATACAAAATCCAGGAGAAGATTGGTATGTTGTCAAGTTAATAAATGTATAGTACATTATTATGGTACTAGAAAAAAGATTTGGAGGTCAAATTAAACCATAATGTGTATTTTCTTCTCAAAGCCCATAATATTCTCACTTTACTGGTCAGGAGCTGAATATTATGTGAAAGCTTCCTGATGTAATAAAGATTTTAAATTATTCAAAAAATGGCCTTTGGGGTTGATGGGGCCAAAATAGGGGATCAAAGATTTACCTTGAAATATATACATACATTTATGTACTGGTTAAAATCTTTATGAATCCTCTTAAGAACAACTGGACCACAACAAGTATTTTTAAACCTTCTTGTAGCTTCCTTATTGTTCAAATCATGGCCAAAGGGAGGAAGGAAGCCCGGGGGGGGGGGGGGGGGGGGGGATTCAGAGACCCTTTAGAGTTAGGATAGGGTCATAATATGAGTTCACAATTTTGCATGGGAAAATTAAGGAGAAAAACTCTTTATAAACATTAAGAAAAGCTTCTTTTAAGTTACATGGGAAATGTTGTATCCCATGGGACTCTTCTTTGCATGCACATAGTAAAGGCAAAAAAAAAATAGATAACCCCTATTGTATTCATAAATTTGAATCTTACTTTTTAAGAAAAGTGTTATTTTCCAATTTAATATCTAATTTGAATGTTTTGACAGAGTCTTTTGCAATTGAGCAGGATGAGGAATCACACCAATCATTTGTAAATGAAAGCAGCAGTCATGATGTTGTCAATGAGAATGGTAATCTATATTTATGATGTTGTTTGGATGTTACAAATTAAAAGTTAACCCAATAAAAATGAATAGTCTTAAAATGATAATTTCTTTTTTAGAATTTTAAATAGGATATGATACAGGGGCACTTTTAAGTGATGAAGCAGACGAGTATGATGATGGTAATGATGATGAATCATACCATCCTTCAAGCGATGAAAAAAGCTGTGATGAAGATACCATTAATGATCTTGGTAATAAAGCTGAAAACAGAACTTTCTTAAGCTCAAGTAAGCTTTTCTGATCAAAGTTTGTCCATTGTCCATCTCCAGCGTCATTGTTGTTTCAAATTTTCAGCTCCTTCTCAAGAACCACTGCGTCAATTTCAACCAAACTTGCCACAAAGTATTCTTGGGTGGGGGATTCAAGTTTGTTCACATGAAAGGCATCACCCTATTTTAAGGGGATATAATCAAAAATAAGTGTAAATTTGATGGCATCTTTAAAAAAATCTTCTCCAGAAACAATGGGCAGAGTTGTTTACTTGTACAAATTTTTAGTATTTCCCATGAATCTTCGAGTAAAAATGTGCTCTACAGATTCACGTTGAAAATATACAGATTTTCCCTAAAGACGGAAAAAAATCGGAGTCGTTCCCGAAATTTGTCAATCAGTTTGATAAAGAAGCTTGTTGATTGAAGTGGTCTTATCAAAAATGATCTAAAAACAATATAATTACGGCAAATGTAAAATATGTAAGCAACAGTAGACAGCATACGGTGACATGCGCAGTTAGTGCTTAGCATTTGTATAACAAGGGGTTCTTCATATAAAAATGTCTAATAAGCTGGGTTGCATTTTTACTGACAAACTGCTCAAAATACTGACAACTTCTAGAATACTGACATCAATTAGAAAAGTTAAACAGGTCTGAGTGGGCCAGAAAAATTTTTCTCCAGAACAGCAAAGCCATGACAAGTCATATTAATACAGAAGCATACTCAGGTAATGTAGCTTGAAGTTTTATCAACTAATGACCCCTGGCAGAAGGGTGGGGACACAATGGGGCATAAGACTTTTACATGGAATTATATAGAAAATGTCTTTAAAGGCCTTCTTCTCAAGAACAGCAAAGCCATGATTTGTTATATTAATACAGGAGTATTTTTCAGGTAGTGTACATTCAAATTTATTCAAATCATAACATCAAGGGGTAGGATGGGAGAAGTAGTTTCAGGTTTGTTCAAATCATCACCCACAGGGCATAGGGTGGCACCAATTGTATAATTGCTCAAACTTTTCAATACTGAACTGATTTCTGCTTTTCTCTTGCAAAAGGGCTCAGGTGTCATGGACCATGGGCCTCTTGTATAAGGTGTTATGTATTACATTGTACAATATGTAGATTGTTTAAAGTGAATTAAAATTATGTCAGAATTTCTGTCTTGAATTTTAAGTATGAGTGTTTCTTTATTACAGTTAAGGATTAATTCCATAAGTTGTTTTTTCTCCAGACATGATCACAGTCTGATAAATTGACAAAATTCATTTTAAATAAATTACTTTCCTTTGCATCACATTAACATGATGTTCATTAGCCAGCATTATAAATTATAAATATCTCCATAAGGAGCTTAAATAGAGTGTTTCAATCATGCCTAACAGATTGAAGTATGGAAAAACAACTTTCATACCTCTTCATTAGGTTTGAATGGGTAAGATGAGGCCATAATAGGCAATCAAAGCTTTGCATAGGAATATATAGGGGGGAAATGTGCAGGGCCATTGTGACTTGGGTGAGCCATGTGGCCCATTGGCCTCCTCTATAAAAATAAAAATGAATCCCTTTTGTCAATACATGTACATATATAATAATTTCAGATATGCCCAGTAAGCCTCTCAAATCTGAAATGCAGCAGAAACAAGCTGCACTTGCAAGTGACAGTGAAAAGGACAGTGAATGTGAAGATGATCATGATGATGTCAGCAAAGTTTTACCACAGTCAGAGAAGCGAAAGACCAGTTTTTTAGAGGCCAAAAACATGGTCTGGGAACTATGATAATAAAAAACATTCATGTCTCTTTTGTGAGAAGTTTTGCCAGCAGGCCAATTGATGGTATGCATATCATATAAGCCCATAGCTCTTTAAGTACAAAAAATTGTGAGATTCGTTTTTGCATATAGGTTCAGGATGGAGCTGAATATTGAAAAAATATATCCTATAAATTTTTTTTCATGGACATGTAGCAGACAGCTGTTTGCATAATTTAAGCAAGTAATTATTTTTTAACCAAAATTTGTGAAATTTATCACTCATGACCCATTGTTCATGCAAGGTTTACCTATTTATTATTTATATTGACACTGCAACAGGCCCATAGAACCCCCCCCCCCCCACCTCCCACTTTTTCTGAGTATAGTATTTTGCTATAGTAAAGTATCCTTTATATCCTGGTTCCCCTCCCCCCCCCCCTTTTTGTTGCAATAAGGTCGGTTCAGTAAATAATGTTTTTTTTTTTTTGCTTGTCAGATATTTTTTGAAGTCCCCCTACTTTTGAAACCCTTGCTATGGGCTGTAAATTGAAGTTTTAAAAAATCCTTTACTGGTGAACATCTAGCAGGCAAACTAGCAGGCATAAAATTAAATATGAAGATTATGAATATTAATCAAACTCAAAAGTCCATTAGAATAACCCATATTCGTAGCAGAGCAAACATGGACCTCTAAAATTAATCTTAATTAATGCTTAGCCCTCTAATTGAAGGCTTCTTAATGTTTCAGGCCCATGAAAAGGCAGAGTTAGTCATAAATTAAAATGTTTTATACAGTATTAGCCAGTATACCTTATCCTCTTTACTTTTGAACTTCTAGGAGTTCAGCTGCATCAATATGATAATAAATATAGAATTCTTGTGAAAATTTACGATTTTTGTTACATGGGTCTAGATTTCTAGATCCAGGCGGTTTTGAAATGACCACAGCCTGAGAAATTCATAATACTCAGGTAATAGTCAAAGCCTAGGGCCTTTTGTTGCATTTTAAACACAGGAAGTTATTAACTGCATAATATTTATATTTCTTGCTTGGTTGTCAGCTTTAAGCTTAAAGAGTTTTTTTTTTTTATTTTGAAACTTGTATGTTGTTTAATGCACTAAGAAAATGCCACTATATTTTGCACAAATACTGACTGATTGTCCTTGATTGTTCTTCTGTGAAAATAAACTTATTTTGGATACCTTAAAAATTAACAGCAAGAAATATCTATTTACACTTGGCTTATACATGTGTATCTTATTTCATGTCAGCATTCTTTTTATGTACTTTTTTTGTATAGTTGATGCAATTAAATTGTTTCATGCAAACAAACCGTCTTTTTTGTTTGATCTTTCAAAATGTTGTAAAACATTTGAGCAAAGGGATAAGAGAACTAAAGGGTGCTGTATGAACTGCATTTCGTAAAAAATCATGGTTTTAGAGAACAACATATTTGAGCAATGGGATTTTTAAATGCTGAATTGGAAAATGAAATGATGAATATGAAATGATAGAATGTTATGCATAAGAAAAACAATGAAGTGGACTTTCCCCACCAAAGTAATTTCAGTTTTTTGAAGTCATTAAATTGCAAGAATAAATAAGAGGGATCATTATTTTCCCCCTTATTTCAGGTCCGTAGAACGCGGAGGCCACCCCCCCCCCCCCCACTTTTTCTGAATATACTATATTACTATTGTAAAATTTCCTTTGAATGCTGGTTGTGGTGTCATCCACATAAAAAAGAACGAGATGTTATTACATGAACAGTAGTTAAGTAATTTGTAATCCTATAAAATTCTTGTTAAGAAAAAAATAAACTCTTTAAGATCATAAAAACATAATGATTGCATTTAAAATTGGGGAACGATTTTCAATTTCTACTTGTCTTACTCAATGCAACAGGAAAAAAACCCCAAAACGAATATTCTTGACGAAACAAGTCTTGAATTAACGCACACTCGGCAATTCATTGCCGTCAGCGACGTAAAAGCAGAGGGGAGGGGTAGCTTGGCCTCTCCTTTTTTCAAACTTAAAAGTTTTATTTTTAATTTACTGTGAAAGTGTTCATTAAAAGCCCCCCCCCCCCCCCCACATACACACACTGTTTTGTTATGTATCTAAATGCGGTCATTTTATTGTAAAGAAATTTTTTGGAGGGTTCACAAAAGTTCAACCCAGCAATAGGATTTTCGACTTTTTGAAGTTAACCTATTTTTCTTGCTTGCCAAAGATTTTCGGGTATTAAGTTGTATTTTCTGCCCCCCCCCCCCCCCCCCGACTTTCAAAAACGATGTTACGTGCCTGGCCGTTAATACTTTTAAATCTTTGTCATGACTGTTAATTTATTCTTCTCATTTCATTTGCTTTATATTAATCTATATACAGATGCTGAAAGCCAATTTTTTATCTTTTAACTTTGTCGGATATCCTTTGACAATTTTCTTTTCTATAGCATACAGATTTCAAGCAGACATTGTCATGTATTTTCGACAATTTTTTGGAAAAATTGGTGTTTTTACGGGAAACACATTCAAAATTTTATTAATGTAGTGATTTTCTTGTATAATATCTTACAAGAGTGTTTATGTACTGAGTTTCCTGTGTGTGTCCTGGTAACGCCATGTAGTGACTTGTCAACTTCCGGTGTGTGATTGAGCAAATTCACGTGACCAAATGTAGTGACTTTTAGGTGAAAAATCATTTTTTCATTATTTGAATTTTCATCTTTCTGAACCTCATTTGCATATACAAAGACCCATAGAATCACAGTTATGGTCTGTTTATCTTGTTAGCATTGCTGGAACATAGTGTAGTGACTTTCAGGTGTAAAACCTCGTGTAGTGAGAATTGCGGTTGTACACGTACACACACACACACACACACACACATTGCAAATTTCAAAAATCACACACTAAGTGCAAAGTTAAAACAAGCCATAGCCTAAATTTATTCCCATATTTTTTTCAATTTAAGAAATTGAAAACAACTATTCTTTTCTCTACGTAAGAAATCGAACATTTTTTTCTACATAAGAAAACGAACAACATACGATTTACATGTACTTTCGACAGAAGCTATACATCGAAAATCCCGTATCCTAAAAATAACCTTAAACACCTTTACGAAATTACTTCGGAAATACAGTAGTTATTTTGAAATAAACATTTGTCAAATATACACAACCCTATGTATATTTATATACATATTTACTCAGATCATGTATTACTTACATTCAAGAGGTCCTAGAACTAGGTTGGACTTTCGTACATGTAGATGGAAGACAGAGCTTTGCTTCAAGAAAAAAAAACCCACATCTGGCTGTTGTTTTTCACTGCATAATAATAATTCCAATTTTTTGTAATCGCCTACATCTTTGTTACTTGAGTGAATGATCAATCTTCAAATAACTGTTGAGAGCAACACAACGTGCCTTTATGACGTCACGTACATTGAATTCAACCGTGTTCAAACAGAAACTAAAATCCGCGAAACGTTAGTAGTTGTAGAAGCCGTTTAAATACAACGAAAGAAAGGACGGAATTTCATTATCTTGTATTTATGTGTATCTTTGTGAAAGAATACACGCATTTACGTACTACGACTGTATGTACATGTACATGTATATCCATCGAGCCTATGCAAGCATTATTCCGATCAGCAAGCATTATTCCGATCATTTATATAATGATTGAGTATGCGTTCGTCATGGGAAAGTTTTTCTTGCGTCTTTTTATTAACCAGTAATAATTCAATAATTTAATAAATAAAATTGATTTTGACCTATAAACAATTCTAAAACTATCACTTTTAATACAGAGGCGTTCAAAAGATTGAAACATCGTGAAATAGTTTATGATAAATTTTTTAAACAAATCCTAAATACAATGTGATTTCAATAGGACACGAGGCTTGCCACGGTAAATGTGAATTAGTGCGAAATCTCTTCCTTATGATGAATGTAACAGAGACTGGAAATCGACCTGCGGTACCTATAAAATGCTAATGAACTCCCAGAAACCAGAGAAATACAGAAGACAATGAGCTGGTGGAAAAGTCACAAAAGAAAACACTGGTAGAGTGTTTTTTTTAATTTTTTCTTTTTTCTTTCTTTCTTTTTTGTTTGTTTGTTTGAATGTTAGGGATCGGCCAATTCATTAATTCTGGAAAAAAGGGGGGGGGGGGGTCTTGCAGATTTTAGAAATAAGTTGTCCTTAAAAATGATGAAAATTAATAATGTCCGATTGTCCACTAGCGAGAAAATAAATAATCTGCCTCTGACCATCCTGGATATAAATATTCTGTCTTAATTTTGAATGTTTGAAAATACATATTAATTATAATTAATCCAACTGAGGAAAAAATGCCACCCCTGTTCCAATAATATCTATAGTTTAAACAATAGTTTAAACTACTCAGTACTTGTTAATCCAATTGTTCCAGGACATAAACATAATCAAAATAAATGGTTGTCAGAATATATCTGAAAAAATTATCGTAAATAATTTTTTTAAAAAAGTAATTATGATCAAATTTTCTTGATTACTTTACCAACACTACTTTTTTTTCAGGTATACACAGGCTTTAACTTACAATACAGACCGAAGGAAAAGAAAACGACAGAGGAGCAAAAACTCTTTTAATATGCCCCTAATGTTTATATTTTGCAGGAAAATTTCTACCATTTTTACTACCAATTGATATTTCTATTTTATTTGATTATTTGTGTACGGTTTGTTCGGAAATATTTCATTCATGTTGGAATATCACCAAGTTCCCCGCAGTGAAATGATGTGAATTTTTATCAGGTACTAAGCACATACAGTACGTTGTAGACATATAGCAGTTAGGATCATTTTCATGCTGGCATCCTTTTAATGTATGAAATGAATTTACATCAAACTAGTGTAAAACAAAAATCAAGTTTCACTCACAAGAAATTTTTTGCGTCAATTATTCTTTAATGTATTAAAAATTACTTGGCTGCATATTAT